ACTTAATATATATTAACTGCTATTTCCAGATAAGGGAGAAAGCTAAATTGGCTAACTAAAGAAAAAAAGTCTGATGAGGTAACCTGTCTGATTCAAGCCATAGAAGCTGCAAAAGGAGTTAGGGGGCTCAAGGAAATGATACCTTCATGTAGACTCAAAGAGGTATTGTGAGGAAGTGAAGGCACACATGCCACCCCAACATGTCCTGCATCATAAAACTCTGCTTCCAGCACTCTGAGGGCACATGCATCTGAGTAACACACACATGTGCAACCACTCAATGAAGAATGACAGTGCTCAGCTGCTCTGGTCCTTATACTCCTGATAATAAACAAACCCACCAGATAATCAGCCACTAAAACCCCAAATATATATTTAAAAAATATCCATGTGCAGAGACCAACCTGAACACATACAGAACACCTGCTCTGTGGCCTGGACTACACTAGAAAATAAGGTTGGTATAATTATGACAATTCAGGGATGTGGAAAATCCACACTACTGAGCAAGGCAGTTAAACCTACCCAACACTTGCTGTAGACAGGATAGGCCAATAAGAGAATTCTCCCATTGATCCAGCTACAAACTCTCAGGGAGCTGGACTACCTACCCCAATGGGAGGAGCCATCCCATTAGTGTAGGCAGGGTCTTCACTGATGTGCTACAGTTGCGCAGAGACAGCAGTGCAGCTGTGTCACTGCAGCATTTTAAGCACAGCCTTCAGTAAGTAGAACTGCACTTAAAAGATTTGTAATATTTCCTTGGGTAGCAAATTAATGTTCAAATTGACCCCTACTTGTTATAAGGGTCTTGGCTACAGCAGGCAGTATGTCACTTAAGATCATGCATTCCTACCAGACGTAACACAAAGGCATAAGTGACAGATGGAGCACAGTGTCCTTCACTCTGAAAACCTTGATTATGACAGAGACAAATGGAATGTTTAACTATTTTTTGGGTGGTCATTAGCTTTGTTTGCTTTACTGAGTAGTGCAGCGATACCAAGCACAGCCTTTTTTGAAAAAATAATGAATCGACTGTTTCTGCCCTCCTGTCATTCATCTTTGCTGCTTCCGTTAAAAAATAATGCATGCATACAAATATTACTTTATAGATGTAACAGTTCAGCTCTCAATGGAGATATAGGTAAGAGTGCATCTCGTCCAATCTGAGTGGCTGCATTTTTAGGAGATTAGGTCCCCTCTAAAACTGTGACCTGGCCTGATTTATGTGGACTTCATTGCACTAATAGGAACAACACAAAAGCTGACAATCATAACATGGTAAAGTAAATACTATATTGTTATTCCACAGAACAGGGTGAACTTTTCAACACATTTCCAAACCATACCTTAGCTTTATTATATGAGAGACGTACAATGCAATTTGAAGGTGACATCAGTGAAGACTATACTCACTATGTTTAAAATAATTGAAAAACTTTGTGCAAAGCATGTATTTTTTTTTTAAAGAACTTTTTCAAAACACTCCACTGAACAAATATGTTTGTATGAATTGTGGTTCTAATGATGTTATGGCTAAGGCATTAGTCTGGAACTCAAAAGATTTTGGCCCAGAGACTTCTTATGTGACTTCTCGGTCAAGTCATTTATCGCTTGGTGCCTCAATATTTCACTTTTACAACAGAGATAATATTTTACTACCTTACAAGAGTGTTCTGAGGATTAATTCATTTATGTTTGTGTTTAGATACTAAGATACTAGTAAGGTACTTGATATATAACTGTCACTGCATAGTAGATTTGCTTTCTATAAATAAAAAAGTAATCTTTTTAAATGTGTTATGTTTATATATTTAAAGTGTTATATAGTTAAGATGGTGTTTTAATAGCTTATAAGTAGACAGAAAAAGAGACAAGACTCAAGTCGGCAACCTGTGAGAAGCACTGCTAGAGTATTGTTACGTTTGCATTTAGAGATTGTAACAACTTTGGAACTGAGAGCATTAAAAGAACTGGAAAATTCAAAGTGTAGAGGGACTGTAAATGGAAATAAGGCAACTAATAAGAAACTGTGAATTGGGAAAACTTTGACTATCATGTTAAAATTTAGATGTACGGCATCATGGGTTGAAACTTTCCTGAAACTCAAGTTAGCATTATCGATACTGTATGCCATCCAAAGGGGATTACTAAACACAAGCCTGTCAGTTTCAATATGTATCAACTGTATGATCCATAACTTTATATCCAACTCTTTAACAATTATTAAAGTTCAAGTTCGAAGTGTGGCAGGCTTTGGGAACACTTCCCTTTATTAACAAAAATAAAAAATCCTAAAAGAGAAATAGCTGAAAAGTACACTGTATGTAGTACCTATGATGTTTCACAACATACTGGTATTCTTAAAAAATCAATCTACTTTATACAGTCATTATGCACGGTATAAACAGTTTAAACTTTGCTTCTTACTCTTGACAGCCACATTAAGGGACTGCAACCCCTTATCAAGTCTTGAAGTAATTCCACTAATTGAAAAGAACTATTATGAGTAAGCACTTGCAAAACTGTCTGAATTTTTTCCCATCAAGAAGAATTCATATTATTTAAACATGAAATGGCAAAAATTACAATATCAAACTCATTTTAAAGGTTAAATATCTCACATGCCCCTCAATTTATGAAACAGATTTTGGGGATCCCTAGCATAATATCGATGATTAAAGACCATAAAAAATGAATAGGTTGAAAAACGAAGACTAAATAAAATGGTTTTTTTTGAAGAGCTTATATAGCTTATAGCTGAACTGCTTATCCAAGTTGATAAGTAATGGTCACCCGTATTTTAGCAGGTACAAAACAAGAATTAAACTCATGGCCTTTTCAATTTATCCTTATATTATAGTTCCACAAGCTTCCTGGGTGGAATCCGTATAGAATTTAACTGAAAATCTCTTTATTTTTTAATCATCTTGCAAAACATACTGCTTAAGTGAATCCTTTTTACTGACTCATTATTAGATTTGGTAGGTTTTTAGAGCAATTCTTATTAAAAAAAACCTATTAATTCCTACAAGGACTACTGACCTAATCCCCACTTTTTCATGTAGCCAACACACATGGAAAAAAACGGATTGACAGATGTCAGAAGAACTAGAGTACATGTGTTTTGAGAGATTAAAAAACCCACTGCTTTATTAAACTAAATACCACCTTGAATAAGAATAACCAACAATTCAGATCTGATGTTCCCATCTCTTCTAGCATTGTCCATGGACTAGATAACTATGTAAATTCACAGCATGCCATTACCTCATGTCTTTATTTATGAAACTGTTATTGAAACATTACCACTCTCATATCTGCGGACTGAACTCACTGAATATGGGGTCAGGTTACTCATGGGAAGAAAGAGTCACCATATTATGGCGGTTTGCTCTTACCTCCTGAAGTCCTCAGGGAAGGTTACCTTCAGTTCAACAAAATTATTAGTTTTGTCGCAGTACTACATGTCAGTATACTAACTGAAGCAGAAAGGTTAAAATAATAATCAGAAATGAAGTTTTTAAAAACATATTTCTCATTCTATTGTAGAAAAAAAATGTATAGCATGTGTGAAAAGCAGTTTTTATGACTCTCTGACACATTGTAAGTGACATTTGCTTCTAATCAATTTAAACTAAAATTGGTGACAAATTGGCAGATTTGAAAGAACATAACGTCCTTTCATTGTATCGTCTAAGATTGTATTTTTTAAATGTATATTTGGCCCCTTTTTATCATAAACACAAGAAATAGTGAATGCATTTACACTTCAAGATAAAGGCAATCTTGCTCCTCTCAAATAAAATCCTACTTATATTCTTGATGGATTGCCTCTTTTTTAGTATACCCACAAGCTTTAACCTCCCTCCCCCCCAGTAAATAATAATTAGTACAAAAGCAATGAAATTTTCCTAAGAATACTCTGATGTTTCAATTAAGGATCCTAAATACAGGCTGAATCTCTTTAGTTTGAGACCTATCAAGTGTTGAACCAGAGAATTTGTCAGGCCATGGGAGGTTAATGTCACCTAGTAGCATTACCGACACTTCCACTGCTTACTGAGCTCTTAGAAGACATTTAGGGGTAAAGCTAAGTAACATCACAGAACATTGATAGCCACAACTGGTGGCTATAAGCAAACTTTATGGGACCACTGTAAATTTGGCCACAGCCATGGTAAGTGGACATCCAGCTAACTTACCAGACCACAGATGTTGCTGGATGAGTGTGTGCCAGACTAGCAAGAGTCAACCTGTACTAAAATTATACTTCAGTAAAGCAAATGCTATAAATGGAACGTTCTATTGACTAACGAAATCTTGAGTTACTTTAATGTAAAACACCTGCATTGCATTCTTTTTTTTGAAACTTAAGACTTCAGGAATTCTTGCCATTTGTCATGTACAAAAGTTTAAGTTAGGAATGTATTCTACACAACAATCTCCAACAACTAAAAACCCCATGCTATTTGCTTTTCTTGTTCTCTTTTCAGCACAGTGGACACAATTTAATATTATATTATTACACTGCAATTCTTTTCCCTTCAATCTTGCTTATAAAATGCAGGTAGATGCAGCATTCTCTGGTTTAGAAAGTTACTTTGATAAATGACTAACCAGACAAGAGGGGAAACATACATAAATATTATACTGAATTAAAGGGGCAAAATATTTTGAGGAGAGTCTGAAGGAAATAATTCATATCTTTGCCATTCAAGTTTCCATCAGACCACAATACAATTTTTATTATAAAGGTGCAGGTTTTGCCATCTTTCTTGCTTTATGTACTTCCCTTATGTACTGCTTTCATACTGCAGTGTACTGAGTGAGTAAGGGTAGCAGAATATTTCAATTATTTTAAGCCAGTAAAACTTCCTCTTGAAAAAAATCTTGTTATTTCAAATAGAACCTAAAGGCACCTACACAAGAGTAAGCATAACCAAGATAAAACACAGCAAGTTATGATTCAATTAAAATCTTATACAATACATTACCTTCCGCCTCGGGCACTGAAAGGCACTACATGGATTCCCAAAGGCCCGCCATCATTGGAGACTTCTACGAGTTTCACCATATCACTGTGAGACAATGACGAATGAGGGAGCATGAACATGTACCGTAAATGAACCAAAAAACAGAGAGAGAGAGAGAGAGAGAGAGAGAGAGACAGACAGACAGACAGACACACACACACACACACACATACTCTCTCTCTAAAGATATTCCAAAACTTAAGCGATGAATGATGAAAGCAATGCTGAAAGACTACATACCTGAATATTAGTCTGAGGGCATGAAAGGAGATCAATCATCAAAAACAATTCCATTAATAACAACTCAAATGAAAAAGGAACTATCCCTTTTGGTAACCTTAATCAGCTACAAGAATTATATACAGCACAATGACACAGTTTGCTTTGGGGCTTTTTGTTAAATTTAAGCTGTCTTGTCTTCAAGAAAGTGAAGGGTTCAAACTTAGGGTTTTTTATTTCTATTTCAATTTGTGAGTCAAATATGGCACAACCCACTTTTCTCAAAACTTAAAACTGACCCTATTATACTTCCTTCAGCTATTTAATAAAAGCTTGCTCTATCGTTTAATGTTTATTTAAGATAATGTATTAACTTTTAAAAGAGGGCTGTTTAAGTTTTAAATGGTTAGACCTCCATTTGGGGAAATCCCTAACACCATTTGATAGCTTGTTTTCCTACAATTTGTATACAGTAGAATGTCAGAATTATGAACTGACCAATCATACACCTCATTTGAAACCAGAAGAAAGAAAACAGCAGCTGAGATGAAAGCAAAGAAAAATCAAATACATTACATTACTAAACTACTAAAAAAATATGGAAACCTTTAAAAAAAGACAACAAAGTAAGGAAAATTTCAGTGCTTGTTTCACTTAATTTAAGATGATTTAAAGCAGAATTTTTATTCTGCTTAGCAACATTTCAAAGTCAATTTTCAGTTGTAAATAGGGATGCTAGATAGCAGGTAACAGAATAGTCAAGTAACTGCATTAATTTTTATCGGTTACTCGAACGTTCTGTAGTCTCCAGGGGTGGGACCAGCAGCCGTGCACTACGGAATAACAGAGGCAGCAGTGCAGGTGCCAGGCGGGAGCTGGTCTGCAAAGGGGAGCCTGTTTAAAAAAACAACTCCTGGTGCAGAACAGTTGCCTACTGCTCCATGCTGCTACCTTTGATACAGAGGCAACTGCGCAGAGAGCAGCAAACCCTGTTTTAAGGAGGTCCAAAACCCCTGTGGACAGAGGCTACTCCCCTTCCCATGGTGCAGCCTCTATCTACAGTGAGCCTGAGCCTGCCGAGGACAGACATTGCTCTGGCAAAAGCTCCTATTGGTGGGGGGTCTGAACTCCCCTTAGACAGAGCCAGCCTCTATCCACAGGAAGCTCTCACCCCCCTGCATACAGGAGCTGCTGCCACAAAGCAGCCTCTGCCCATGGTGAGCCTGGGCCTGCCACGGGCAGAGACGTCTTTCTCTGATAGAGGCAGCTGCGGAGGGAGGCAGCATCACGGATCTAATGCCGGCTTTTGAGATACAAAGACAGCAGGGTGGGGAAGAGAGGAGCAATGTGAGTAGTCAAGAAGATTAAGAGATAAGACTAGGCTTGTACACTCAACTACTTGTTAACATCCCTAGTTGTAAAACTTTAGAAAGAACAACCAAAACATTTTGCTCTGTTACAGACAACCTCCATTCCTGAGGTGTTCATAACTCGGAGATTCTATTATTTCTGTTTGTTATGTGTACTTATAGATCTATATTTCTGTCTTTTTGGAATAATAAATGTAACATGCCATATGGCAGTCATGCAGAATTGATTCTGAGTTTTACTTCTTGCTTTGGTAAGACAAAAGGACAAAAAGCTCAAGAAAAGCCAGAAGTAAATCTTTTTATTTCAGAACACCCACACATTTTGGACAGATTGGCTTGGGAGCCAAAAGCCATAAAAGATTACAAAACACAGATGGACTGAGACAGGACCACAAAAATGAACACTTCAAAACCTTAAGAACAAAAGTTCTGAATCCAAATCTGAGCTTGTAGCTTTTGCTGGCCTCTCATACCAATATACAGTAGACTTCTGATAATCCAGAACCTTTGGGACGTAGGTGGTGCCAGATTATCAGACATGCCGGACTATCAGGAGGTACTATAAGTTGGTTATATATATACTGTATCCAGTATATACTGTATATAAAGTGTTTTAACCCTTTTTATTGTACATACTGGATACAATATACATTAATGTTTTATTTTTTTAACCCTTTTTTACCCTTTTTGCTCGGTTCAGCTGCTGCTGCTGCGTTGTGACTCGTTTTTGCCGAAGTTCACTCACTAGGCTCTTGCCATTTTGATGCCGGACTATTGGGAGTGCCATACAATTGGATGCCGGACTATTGGAGTTTTACTGTACATTACATTTGATAGTTGGCTTGCCTCCTGCATAAGTACTAGGAATATGAAACCTTGCTTAATCAGTTAACCGGTTAAACATTATTTTTAACCTGTTAACTGCTTAAACAGAGCGGGCAGGGGACCACTCCAGCTCACTTGGGCAGGAGCGCTTGCTCCCTGCAGCAGAATGGGCTGCTCTGGCCAGGTCAGGCCCAGCCCACCACTGGCAGCCGGGACACAAGTTAATCGGTAGCTGGAACACATCACCCTGTAACAATGATGTTTACTCATTAACCACTGACATCTCTAGTAGGACAAAAAAGATTTTACCTACAGTCAGGACAGGCACTTATGGCCAGATGCAATGGCCTATGGATGACACGAGGGGCCTTTCCATCGATTTCAACAGGCACTGGATCAGACCCATACTGCCACACGAAATGATAGTATTTAATCCTAAATATTGTGCCTGATATTGGCCAGTACCACATCATTCAGAGGAAAATTTTTCCCCTGCATCCAGGGCTGGCAACATACTTTGGTGGGCAAAATGTGTAGTGGGGGGGGGGGGGGGGGGCTGCCTTGGGCAGAAGGGGCAGGGCTAGAATGGGTCGGCAACCCTCAGCATTGCTCAGACCATGCCATGCCTCCTCCAGGCAGCACTCAACACCACCAAGACCATGTCATGCAGGTCTCTGGGTACTGCTGCTACCATGGTAGCAGCCTGGAGCTCTGAGACCTTTTAAATTGCCAGACCCCAGGGAAACTGCCACCTTGTCCCTCCCCCTCTCCACATCAATGGCCCTGCCTACATCTGTCAGCTATCATTTTCTCTATATCCTTCTACTTTTATAAGAAAAAATTCTACATAAATTATATGCAAGTGTCCTCATAATCTATATAAATATCACATTTTTTAAAATCATCCTAAATTTGTCTCTCTATGATCTCACATGACAATGAATTCTAGAGGATAATTATGTATTGCATGAAAAGTTTTCCTTTATCTGATTTGAATTTACCACCTTTTGATTTAACTGATTCTACCTTTTTCTTATATAATGAGAAAGGATAAATGCATCCACCTCTCTCTCATGTCCCCTTTTCTAATCCACACCCATTTTTCCAATTTATTCCCTGGAAATGTCTCCATGCCTAAGTTCATTTTCATTGTACTTCTATTACCACTACAGCTCCTTTGAGGTAGGATGACCATGAACTGATCAATTCTCCAGATGATGGTAAACACAGATTTACTTAACAGCATTATAACTTTTAGTATTATTTTCTGTCCCAAGTGTCATGTGTCATAACATTGTTTGATTTCCACTGCACATGAGCTGTGCACAAGGTCTTTTAAGGGTCAACTAAATTCAATGAAGCCTAGAAAGTGTTGTCAGAAGTGCCTTTTGCTCCCCAGCTCATTATTGGTTGTTGTATGTCTTGCTGTTCTAAAGGACACATTTTGCTTCCATTTGTCAATTTTGAGGGCCAAGAGGAACTTAACAGTCAATTTTTAATCCCCATAACAATCAGAAGCTCTACAGACAAAAGGATGAATTTTAAAATACTCAAAGTATAATGGACCATTTCTCAACCAGTATCGCAGCCACGTCTGAGTCAGAGTTTTGCAATTAAACAGAAAGAGAACAACTTCCTTGATTTCATGTTTCAGCATTAAACCTTCAGTCACTGAATCTTTCCTAGAGTCAGGGTAAGTTTCAGGTTAGGCTTATCTGATATCACTAACGTAATTTTGTTTTGGCTGTGTAGTCCACCTCTGCAAAATTCCTCCGTCCCTTTGTGGAAGAAATAAAGATCTGTAGTGCCTCAGCTCTCACCTACCAATATTTTGGGAAAGCCCTTTGGGTCCATTCCTTCCCACAATATAACCGCCAAACCTTAAAATGTCGTAGGGTTAGCATCTTCAGTGCAGACAGAATAAATCACCCACAAATCATATTATAGCGACACCTCCATATCTCTGCTGCTGAATTACTTGTGAAGCCTCTTTAATAATTGGGATAAAAAGATATCCAAGGTGCAAAGGGCAAAAAACCCCACTCTGTTTTACACAGAGTTGCAATCAAAATAAATGCATATTACAGGCTTTGTGTTTTTACTGACATAACTAATCTTGTGGTAGTAAGAGCTCTTTACTATAAATCTTACTGTTTACAAATGAGGCAAATGTATCAGCAACTTACTCTAAGGAAAAATTAGTTGTGCTCTCCAAACCACTGTCTGCGTGTCCAACTGGTTCAACTCTGCTATTGTCCTCCTCCGTCCCATCTTCATCCTGTAAATAACAAAGATATTATCCTTTAATATTCCATTTTCTTAATTAGGATTACTCTATCCAAGATGATAGCATATCCTTCAATGACTTAAAGTCTTGTCTAACATTACAAACACAGTTATAAATTACTTTGTTTTATTATAGGCTTTTCTGTAACATATCTAGAGAAATGTTATCATGACACACTACTAGAGTTTAAGAATAAGTATGAAATGACATGGAAGAAAATCCACGGTAAGGCACAATTTATTAATTAATGAATTTAGTCCTGTCATTAATCAGCTTACTGAAGGACTGACTTAAATAAAGAGACATTCAACTTGAAAGCTATTTAATTTAAAAAGATTAAGTTTAATGTTATATCAGGTACTACTGAGTTTCTTTACCAAGTTATTCTCTCCAAAGTTGTTTTCTGAAAAGCTTCAGTAAATATAAGGGGAAACTTACTAATTATACAGAGGAAAGAGAAAAAAATGAATATCCTCAAAATGCTGTCAAATGCACTAAATGACCAAACTGAGGAAATGAACATATATATAAAATCTCTTTCAGATTTGTAGCAATGTAAGATGTAACATGTAATAAACGTAGGTAAAATAACATCACAGAAATGATTTAATTTGACAGACTCCTTCTAAAATATTTACAGCCAAATGTTTGGCCAATGCCTTATGTGATTTCAGTAAACTAAATGAGGTTTCAATCAGTGCAGTTTTTCATTCCTAGTCTTACAAAACCCGTATGTACATATGCAGCCCCGTGGAAGTCAGTATAGATTCTTTTCTTGAGTAACGTTCTGCAGGATCTGGCTCTTATTGATTAAATTACTGAGAGATATTTTGCAAGTGTGTTTCAATTACTGAAATAATGGAATTACTAAAGCCAGCATCTCTCATATAGCAAAGTACAGAGAATTTTATATATTGTTTACCGCAGAACTTCATTAACAGAATTGAGAGATATTTATGGCTTCAAAGAACGAAAAAAGCTCTAATGTTAATTGATTGATTTTACTTTCCGGAACTGCAAATTAAAAATACATATATATTATTCACCGTGCCTATAATTTTTAATGTCAGAATTGGGAATAAAGTACTTCCAAATTTAGACCAATCTAATTAATGGGCTTCCATTAAGATTAGAGAAGGAAAAGCATTTTTAGAACTATGTTATTCAATAGATATTTATATTTTTAATTACCCATGTGATCAAACAAAAATATTGTGTTGTAATCAGTATGGCTCAAAACACCGATTTAGATTCCACTGGCAGAGAAATCAATCTGCAAAATGGTAAGTGATGGGTTATGAGTTCAGCACACAGAGTCAGACAATATATTAAATTATTGAAGAGATATTAAAGCAAGGGAGAGGCATTTGGTAATGTCTAATTGACATTTCCTCTGAGAGTCTGCAAAAATCAGAGGCTGGATGCACTGAGCTTCCCTGAGTCGTAGATATGCTGTGTGCATCCTGGATAGCAGGGCACCGCTTGCAGCCAAGCTTCTTGAAGATTGATGATCCCGTGTTTTGAGAGGCTCTAATATGCACTTCTTAGTCATCTATCTCTCTTAAGCACCAGGCAAGTAATACATTTCAAAGGTTAAGCAGCATCTTGAACCTGCCTACAACTGCCTTATGAATGTAAACAAGAACTCCAAAACGGATATTTTCTATACAAAAAAAAGGTGTTTATAAACCAATTGTAAAGGACAACCACGACGTAAATCACAGAAATGCAGTAACAAATTTTATCTATGTTCAGATTTATTGGTCTTAAAACTGTGCATCAGAATATGATAAAACTTTTTACAATTGCAAATAATACTTAAATATCATAGACAGCATATACAATTACTGGTGGTGTACCAAAAAGTATACGTTGTTTAATGCAGAGTTGCTTTAAACATGCAAAAAAAAAAAAAAACCCAAAACCAGGACATGTAGCTTTGTTTCTCATATAAACAGTATCTTCCCTCCTTGGTTTTGCATATATCGCATCATAGCATATGGTGTTAAAATTAATGTCTTATACATGTCTATGATGCAGCAAAGTCAGTTACAGTAGGAATCATCACTTGGAATTTCACTCTGCACAAGTATGTGGAGTCATACCCACTATCAATCAACTGCTTTTATTTCACTTTGTGTGGCCGTAGGTGATACTTATACATATCTGGAACTGTGCAAGTTTGTAAATATGTGTGTGATATAATTATCAACCAATAGTCTAACAACCCAGAAAGTAAGGGAACATCACTGACCAAAATAGAAATAATGGTATGTGATGTAGTAATAATTATCAATTTTAACCTCTCTTACTGCCTTTCCTTGTGGTTTGTCAGATCATCTGTTGTTTTTTATTCATTTCTCAATCCACCAAACTGAAGCCCACACATAACTGAACTCACAAGAGGACTCCTGGTATAACCACTGGGACTTTTCAGAAGGATATAGCAATATACATGCTTCAATGTTTGTAGAATTGGGGATATTAAAATAAAAGTTGTCTAGACACTCTATCTGATTTGTAAACAACCATCAACATTTATGGTTCTCTGTAACTTTCATAATCAACAATGAAAGATGATATGCTTAATATGCACAACAAATATCTTTGAACACTTTAATTCCTATTCTCACTTCTACTTCACAGATAGAAAGGGGATATTCCTTACTGAATATTATGTACAAGATAAGTTTGTACATGTGAAACAACAGTTTTCCAGTTATCCAAGCACATAAACAAAAAAATAAATAGAATTTGGACAACTCGTGGTGAGTAGAATATTTGGATTCTTTTTTAAATCAAAAAGTTATCTGAAGATAGGTGCTCAAAAAGTATATTCTCAATGCAAGCTACATTACTGCTGCCACAATGCCATAATCAACAGATGCATCCTTTAAAAAAATCTTTAATACTGCAGTAATCAGGAACTCTTTTCCTTCCAATATAACAGATTTTGATTTACGTGGAACCAAATGTAGAGTAAATTGGACACCTGCAGAGGCATGTAACTTGAAATTCTGATTTACTAAGGAAAGTAGATAGCTGTGAAAATCTCTGCATCAAGCAATTATTTCTTTATTTGGAAAGTAGTTTTCTTCGTCAAAGGCAAAATCCACCTGTATGTGCTCTTACTGAGGCAAACTATGGAGAACATGCATTAAATTTTGTGGGTCAAGAAAGTTACAGAAACACGACTTTTGACACTCTCTTTGAAGCATGTTTGTACAAAGTGCATGACAAACATTCTGTTTAGTACATCTGGTAAAATATTATACATAGATCACATATATGCTGCATAAAAGAATAAGCATTTCAAAGAAATTTAGAATCAATATGGTAAAAACTTTTTGCAATCACATTAATTACTTTTGTGACCCAGCTAATTTTTAAAAAAATTTATGACCCAGATTTAAACTGGACAACCTAAAATACTATACCTTGCTTTCAGATACATAATGTGCACTTACTCTTAATCGTGTCAAATCAGTTAACAAGCTTGTGCATGTGTGTGCAACAGCAGATGCTTTCAAAGCACTTTTATATATCTGCACTCATGAATCAAGCCCCTAAATATGGAAGCATAGCACTTCTGCCTGCAGAGCTAAGGGTTGCAGACCTTAAAACTTTTCCCAGCCAGCCAGCCCGCTTGCCTGACCATGTGCTTCACTGAATAACTGAACCAAGGAGAGGGGGCGTAGTTCTTCTTGACTCCCTATTATTCCAACAAGCAGCTCCCATGGATTGTGCTGCTGGGGGAGGGGGGGAGGGAAGGGGAGGAAAGAATTGTATGGCTCCTGAAACTTCCCCCTTCCCTTCCAGTTTTGAAATAGAAACGGAGGCCTGTAACCGTGTTTCTACACCGGCGCAAAGGGTTGCAGGGCAACCAGGGGAGCCTGCCTGGGGCTCCCCACTGCCTCTTAAAGTCATATTTTGCCCAGGTCTGGTCTACAGGATTCCTGCTTCATTTGCTCACAAGCTGGTAAGAGGGTAATGAACAAGGGATGGCAAAACAAAAAAAGGACAGTCTTACACTTAAGTGTTCAAAGCTCTCCTGAAGACGTATATTCTATCCCTGCCATCTGATTTTCATCGAATCACTTAAACCTGGGGTCTAAGAGGCAGAAATGTTGAGCCCCTCTCAGCTTCATCTGAAAGCAGTGGGGGCAGTACTTCAAGCACATAAACTATGATATAAAGCTCACTCTGAAAAATCAGGTCCTGGGCATCTCTGAGCACCAAAAGTGGAGAGTACTTTTTAATCTCAATATTTCTGTGCCTCAGCTACCAATGTGTGAAATGAAAATACCACCACTTTCCTATACAGGGGCGGATATAGGGCAGGGCGAACGGGGCGGCCGCCCCGGGCCCCGTGCTTCAGAAAGCCCCGCACATGCGCCATGGTGCTGCTGCGCATGCGCTGTGGCAAGGGGGGGAGGCCGTGGAATTATGCTGCCCGGGGCCCCGCAAAACGGTCATCTGCCCCTGTCCCTATATTTCATTGGGATGGGGTTTTACTAACTTCGCCATAATTAAAAACTGGACAATCTGTTTGGAGTGCCAGAACATCCTCTACTTTTCTCCTCTTCCCACTGAGGCTCAACCCCTGCTCCTCAGGCCCTTCTCCCCAACCACCTAACACTAGTAGGACACAGCCCTGGCTGAATAAGGGCTGGCCGTCCCCACCTTCATTGCTTATGGTGACCAAACATCGTCAGGTTTCCTTTTCAACCAGACTTTCCCGCTGAAAGCTGGGCACCCTGGCCACGTACATTGTGAAAACAAATTAGTTAATGTTTTGAAGCACTCAGGCGCTATACTGGTGGGTGTCACAGAAAAACCCATGAGAAAATTAATAATTCTTTCTTCAGAGCAGGGTTTGAATAGTGTACAGTAGATAAGGCATGAGGCCACAGATTGAACAAAGTGGGAAAATGATTGAATAGCTGCTCATTAAGTGAGTGCCACCCTTCCTGTGCACTGAATGAGGCAGA